GTCAGTCACAGGATACATCTTCATGTACATCCAAATGAGTGCCATCATCTGAAATGCGAGAGGTGTAGCTAGTGTTGCTACTCGTAGGCGCCAGAGAAAACTTATTCAGCTTCATCATGTTTATATTTTGGTTATTCTGGAGCCTATGGTTTTGAAGAGAAGGTTGATTTTGTTCATCGTTATCTGCGAATAAGATTTGGGTATTGTGGAAAATGGGTACTACCGTTACTGTTATTGATCATCATATCCAGTTCCTACATGTCAGAGTTGTGGATCCCAGACTAGTACGACCTATTTATTTGACTTCTGTTTATGCTGCTCGTCAAGCCTATGTTGGGAGAGACTTGTGGGCGGATCTTCACCACATTTCCCTTTCTATGGAGGATGGCTTGTTGGGGTGACTTTAACATCATCACACATGATGGTGAACGTACTGGTTATAGTCATTAAGATCGTGGCTCTACCGATTTTTTTGATATAATGTTGGATTGTGGTTTAGAGGATGCTGGCTTTTTTGGGTCTCAGTTTACCTGGACGAATGGCAGGGTTAGTAAAAGATTGGATATAGTTTTGATTAACTCTTTAGCTGCAGACTTTTATAGACAGCTTACTGTGACTTATCTGAATCGTAATTCATCTGATAACTCATCTCTACTTTTACAATGGATTTTTGATGATGATTTCGGTCCTAGACCATTTAGATTCCTCAATGTTTAGACCAAACATCATGAATTCTCAGCCTTCGCTTCTCAAAAGTGGTCACTTTCTACTCATTTTACAAGAATGGCTGCCCTCTGAAAGAAGTTCTTTAGGCTGAAATAATGACTAAGGTGGTGAAATCGATGGGTATTTGGTGATGTGTTCCAGAGAGTTAGAGACGCTGAGGAGATGGTTGACCAGGCTAAGATTGATCCTACATCGGAGCATCGTGAATTACTTCATCATGCACAGACTGATTTGACCTAGACCTTAGCTATTGAGGAGGGTTTTTGGAAGCAAAAGACAGGTTCTCGTTGGGTATGTGAGGGAGATCGCAACACCAGATATTTTTATTCAGTAGTACAGGGACGATGGATCAAATCTTGTGTCAGGACGATCACGACACAGGCATGGGAAGTTCTTACTACTCCTGCAGATATTCAGAGCTCGACAATCTCTTTTTTCCAGGAATTATTATCCTATCCTTCACAGCCTCTGGAGTATATCTGTCCTAATATCATACCTAGCATACTAACGGAGGCAGATAATATGGCGCTGAACCGCCTCCCTTTTGCTTGATGAGGTGCGGAAGGCTGTTTTCAGTATTGATGCTGATAGTGTTGCGAGCCCTGATGGATTTTCGTCATTGTTCTACCAAAACTGTTGGGATATTATACAGGATGATGTATACAGTGCAATCATTGATTTTTTTAGGGTGGTAATTTACCAAGAGGATTTGCTGCTACGTCTATTGTTTTGCTTCCGAAGAGGGAGAATGCTTGTAAATGGACGAATTACTGACCTATCGAATTGTGTACGATGTTCAATAAGCTTCTCACAAAGATATTAAACAAAAGATTGAGTTCATTTTTGCCTTATATTATCTCCTCCCAACAGAGTGGATTTGTCCTTGATTGACTTATTGGAGATAATGTTTTGTTGACCTAAGAAATTCTACACACGTTGGATAATAGAATGCGTGGAGGGAATGTTATGCTGAAACTTGACATGGCTAAAGCATATGATCGTATGGATTGGGGATTCATTTATTATATACTGGAGGCGTTTGGTTTTGACCAGGTGTGGATTGATCGGATCAGACGTTGTATATCGGAGTCTCGATTCTCAGTGCTTTTGAATGGGCGGCTATGTGGTTTCTTTTCTTCATCGTGGGGACTCAGACAGGGAGATCATATCTCTACATTCTTATTTATTATTGGTGCGGATTACTTTTCTCGATTGCTTACTCAGAGGTTTCAGATGACATATCCTAGTATGCAGTATCAACATGGAGGTAGTACTCTTGTCTCTCATCTTGTTTTTGCTGATGATATGATTATATTTACCAATGGACAGAAGAAGTCTATTAAAAGGGTCATCGATTGTTTGGAGCAATACGAGGGGATCTCTGGCCAATTGGTGAATAGAGACAAGAGTAGTTTTATATTGCCTAGGTGGGCATCTGATATTCAGATATGGAGGTTAGTGATTTTTACTGGATTTTCACATCAGAAACAGCAGTTTACATATCTGGGAGTCCCTTTGTTTAAATAAGCTAAGAGGAGCTTTATGTATGATGATCTCATTATGAAGGTCAGGAGTAGAATTTCTGAATAGGCTTCACTCACGCCTTCTTTCTCCTACTGGTAGGATTACTCTACTGAGCTCTGTTCTTTCCTCTATACCACTGTATCTATTCTAGATTATGCGACCTCCTAAGGTCATTTTGAAAAAGGTAGAGAGTATATTTGTGCGATTCCTATGGGATTCTAAGGATCATGCGCGTGAGTGAAGGCGATTTGCGGACCTGGAAGGTGATTTGCCTTCTTGTTGACGAGGGAGGTCTGGACTTTAGATGATTACAGGATACGGTGGACACATTTTGATTGAAGCTATGGTGGCTGTTCAGGTCTCAGAGTTCTCTTTGGGCTCAGTTTTTACTGGGCAAATATTGTAGAGGAACACATTCGTTGCTTGCAGCAGTTCTTTACTCAACCTATCCTATTTGGAAGAGACTGAAGAGATTTGGACTATACGCCAAGATACACGGGTAGATCTTCTTTTGGCATGATTGTTGGATGGGTGATTCTACACTGGCATCCATTTCCCACCCAGATAGCACACATCTACGAGGGTACAGGAATTTTTCGAGGAGGATGGATGGGATTTTGGGAGATTACTACGGCTCTTCCATCAGCTATAGCAGAGTAGATTGAGGCCATTCCACTATGTCTTGATGTCTCGGATTGCATTTTTTGGAGGGCCACATCAGATGGTAGATTTACTACTAAATCAGCATGGCAGTAGATCCGTGCTAGCCAGCCAGCACAGGATTCCTATCGCTAATTATGGACCCCTGTCATTCCTCCCACCGTTACAAGCTGATCCGCTCTAGCAGGCAAGTGCAGGATTCATTTCGCCTACTGTGGAGCCATATCATACCTCCTACCATTTCGTTCTTCTGTTGGAGATTATGGCAGGACTTAATACCATTTGATGTCACTATCCAGAAGAGGATCAGCAATCAGTTGGCTTCTCGATATCAGTGTTGTTCAGAGATTGAGACCATCACTCATATTTTTACTGGTAGCAGTATTTCAGATCATATTTGGCAACATGTTGGGGCTTTATTTCATATTACCATGAGTGCATGAGAGAGTGTCAGATAAAGATTTCTGAGATGGAGGTATTCTGGACAGTTTACAAGGATCGAACACATTCGGATCATTATTCCTCTATTGATTTTCTGGTTTCTTTAGACTGAGAGGAATAATGCAAAGCACAGGAACATACGTATGAGTTAAGACGTATTATCTGGAGAGTTTACTGTATGGTGTCCTTTCTCCATATTGGTGGACTATTCCGACCGTTACATTGGCGTAATGCATGCAGCTTGCTATACTTTTTGGCATTTCTTTGACTCTCTCACCATCTCCTTTTCTATCATGGTTTGTGCACTCTATCATTTGGATCTGTCAAGATCAACACCGATGATTGTGTTAAAGATAGGTTTGCGAGTGGGGGAGGCATCATCAGGGACTACGCAGGAAAATTTATCAAGGCTTTTTAAGCTTCATATGGACAGTGTATGATATTAGAAGCGGAACTCATGGCTATTCTTGACGGGATACTACTGGCTAAAAATCTTGGTTTGTCAGATATTTGGGTTGAGGCAAACTCGACTGTGGCCATTCACTGCATCATCAGAGGTGGTGGCCGTGACCTATCCAGGGGATACTCAAACAGATTTTGCGGATATCGTTTCCTTCAACAGAGATATGGTTTCCCACATCTTCAAAGGGGGAACCAGTTGCAGATGCACTTGTTACCGAGGGTTGGCATCATCGTAGATATTAGGAATATGGACCAACCGACGTACCATGACATATCAGAGCGCTTGTTCAGATTAAAAGATATGGTTTGCCTAAAACTAGAGTTTAACTGTTTGTATTTTGCTTTTACTTTTTGTTTTGATTTGTTGCTAACACTTGTACTTTTTGTAAGGGAAGTAGTACTCTTTTTTTCTTGCTTTCTTATTATTCTTTACTTTCACTGTAAGGGAAGTAATACTTCCTCGTTTATTATTTATATTGATATCATTTGTAACCACGGTATTCCTCCGCTACAAGTGAGGACATATTAATAAAATCTTGGAGGTACCGCATTCCTTCCACTGAAAAAAAATAAATTCAATCGTGAATAAAAATCTAAAAACATTGTGGAAAGCTACTGTATTAACAATACACTAATTGCATTCATTGTAGATAGAAAATAATAAAGGTAATCATTTATTTCTTTATTGAAATCTCACTTTCAATTTAGCCTTAATTATCATGAATTTTGTCCCTTCTTATTTAAATTTCATGGACCACTCTCATAATAACACAGAACATATAATTCAATACACCAAATTGATTAGCTACTTTAGTATAATAATTGGAATTTTCTTTTGGTTATTCATATATTATCTTGTCATCAGCAGAGACATGATAACATGAAATTTTTTGACAACGCCCCCAACAAACTAAACTCTATTCTTAATAAATTTAGGGTCGACTAAACCCCACAAGTAGTAACCAAATATATTTGTCTTCTACGTGAAACAGAAAATTCCCGACCTCTTAAGCACATTAGAAACTTATGATGTTATATATTCTTCTGCTACTTACAGCTGAGAACTTATGGCTGTTCTTAGTAACATAATAGTTGCTGTTGCCTGCTGTTTTCTCATTTACATCCTGTTTATACTTAGTAAATTACTGAATAAAGTATGGTTGAACCCGATTCGAATCCAATATACGATGAAGTTGCAAGGAATCAAAGGCCCTTCGTACAAATTCCTATATGGAAATACTGCAGAGATACTCAACATGAGAAAAGAATCTACGGGCAAAGCAATGAGCAATATGGATCACAACATACTCCCCAGAATTCTACCTCATGTACACGCATGGGTAAACATATATGGTAATTTTTCTCCATTATATATCATCGGTTCATTGAAGATGTAGGATTTCATTTGCTTGATAAGGACGTATATGGCGTGTTTAATAGCACTAGTATTAAGGAAGAAAAGAAGCTTAAATCTTGTTTATTATACTGTTTTATGTTATCGAGGTAAACACGGTTTTTTCACCATCTTTATGAATAGGAGCGAACTTCCTCAATTGGTTTGGTCCTCAAGCTCAACTAGTTGTTACTGAACCAGAGGTTATCAAAGAAATACTGAACAATAAAGATGGAAATTACCCAAAAATAGACCTTGAAGGCTTTGCAAAGAAGCTGTTGGGAGATGGGCTTTCATCATCGAAAGGTGAAAAGTGGGCAAATATGCGAAAAGTAGCCAACCATGTTTTCCATGCCGAGAGCCTCAAAGTAAGATGTAATATTCGATACTAATCAATTGTATTTTATAGAACTTGACAAAGGAGTTATCGATCTCAAATTAATTTGAAGCATGACTTGGTTTGTTGCTGACGAGGGGATTAATAATGCAGAATATGGTTCCGGCAATGATCTCAAGTGTAGAGATGATGCTAGAGAAGTGGAAGGAATACGAAGGAAATGAGATTGAAGTATTCGAAGAGTTCAGGGTACTGACATCAGAAGTCATTTCGAAAACAGCATTTGGAAGCAGCTATTTGGAAGGGAAGAATATATTTGATATGCTGATGAAGTTGACTGTATTAGTATCCCGAAATGTTCACAAAATCAATTTCCCTGGCATCGGGTAAATTTTCTTACTTTCGTTCATACAAATCATCTTGATCCTCTCAGAATCAAAGCATTCTAAACAGATAAAAATTCTAACTTGAATAAAAATAAAATAAGCCTGGGTCGAAGACAGAATCCCCTGGTTTTCAAAATCAGACGCTACAGGCATGTTTGGTAGGCTGGGCTGGACAAGATAAAGGAAGCAAAAGAACATAAAATCTTGCATGTTGTGTGGTCCAGTATGTCTAATCTTGTATACCGAACATGTTCTGTACGGATTACTTTTTCTCAATCCCATCTTGACATACGAATTCACATGCTTTTGCAGCCGCTTTGTGAAAAGTAGTGATGAAATAGAATCGGAGAAACTCGAGCAGGGGATACAAGATTGTATTGTAAAAATAATAGCTCAAAGAGAGCAAGGTAGGGATGAGAGAGACAAAAGCTTCAAGAGTGATTTTCTTGGAAAACTCTTACAAGTTAACGAGGAGACTGATCGATACAAGAGGATGTCAATAAAAGCTATAGTTGATGAGTGCAAGACATTCTATTTTGCTGGACACGAAACAACAACAGCGTTGCTAGCATGGACAGTTCTTCTTCTAGCTACAAACGAAGAGTGGCAAGACAGCGCAAGGCAAGAGGTGATTAGACTATTTGGACAGACAAATCCTAATCAAGACGCCATTGCAAGACTGAAAATTGTAACCCATTCTTCTCTGGTCGAATTTTCTAAAAATCGTCTCTCAGTGTCAGTATTGGTCTTACTAAGTGCTTCATAACATATTCGATTTCTAATACAGATAAACATGATCATTGAGGAGTCATTGAGGCTTTACCCTCCAGTGCCTGCAATTAAGAGAAAGGTTTCTAAGGAAGTTCAACTAGGAAACTTAACTCTTCCACCCAATACAGAGCTGTACATTTCACCTCTAGCACTTCACCATGACCCTAAAATATGGGGAGAAGATGCTCATATGTTTCGACCCGAGAGATTTTCAGAAGGCATTGTGAAGGCCACGAAGAATAACCCGGTAGCTTTTTTGCCATTCGGGTTTGGACCACGAACTTGTGTGGGACTAAGTTTCGCAATGATCGAAGCAAAAATTGCCCTTTCGATGATTCTGCAGCGCTACCGGTTCACACTATCACCAACGTATATTCATTCTCCAGTTCAGCTTTTCATGATTCGTCCGCAGCATGGAGTTCAAGTGATTCTACACAAAATTTGAGGGATATGATGTTTTAGAGTAAATGACACTCATATCTCTTCAGTTTCTCAAATAATTTGAACATCCCTCCTCGAAATTTAATCAGTTCTATGAAATTTTACTTTTTCTTTAGTGATTCTATGTTTTTTAATGCAAATGTTGAAATTCTTAAGCAACTGAGAGTAGACATTCAATAATTTTTCTAACATCCATTGCAGATTCAAATGTATACCCATATATGATGTGATGATCTGATTTCCACACATCGAATCATGAAATTAATAATCATCAAATCAAGAAATATTAATTGCGGTCCTAAAACATTTAAAAAATATTAGCTGTAATCAAATCCACATTAGAATTCACATTTACAAAAATAAATAATAAATAAAATCCAATGTGATCACAATTTTCTAACTTTATGATATGGGGCCTCCAACTTGAAAGTTATATGATCCCAACAAATGAAAGATACAATTATTATAGAATAAACTGTCAACTGATTGGTACAAAATAAGATAATAATAAATGGAAAGATAATCATCATTTGCAAGAAAGAAATCAGACAAAAATCTCTAAGATGCTCTATTATTTTACCCAAGAAAGTCACAAGTGGACATAGTTGTACATACGGAAGGAAGACTTAGCTAGTTGGATCGCGCGTGACATAGGTTTGGCCATAACAAGTCATAAAGTCGAGAGGCAAATGAAAATTAACTTTGTATGTCGAATTACTTTAAATTTGTCTGTAGATCTACTAATAAATAGCACAAAACCTTAAAGAAGGAATCGATCCCAAATTTGTTAGGGATAAGGCTCAATTGTATAACATCAAAGAGTCATTTTAACACACAACGTGACTTTTTAACTGAATAAGCATTGTTCATTCGTTGACGACCTACAAACTAGTAAGCTACAAAGGTGAAAGAGTAGGGATACAAAGCTCGAAATGGAAGCAGCTTTGATGATATGGAGAAATTTGATTTTCTAAAGGGGGCTGAATCAAAATATCAAAGACTTACACGCAACAAAACTGAAAATTTGAAGACCCAGTTGCTACAAATAAAATATTTTGGACTGGGTTGTATACTTTCAATAAATTAGGGACCTTGATTGTAATTATTTCCTAAAGTTAAATCAGCTGCAGTTCAGCCGTTACAGTGTTCTGTTTAGTCTGATCTTGAAGACAAAAACCCTACTGCAGGGTTCGCCCTTCCGGTACTCTCTCTCTCTCTCTCTATTTTGTGTGCGTGCGTGTTAATGTGTATGAGTAGAAATAAACTTGTCAATTGTTTAGAGTTATTCTTTCAATATACTTTTCAATTAATGTAGCATTTAAATTAAATCATTTCGTTTTGTTTGATTTGCTTATTGTTTAGGTAGATTGATTTCTTGATTCTAGAATTTTGGTTGATTTTAGTTGCATATACCTAAGCACAAAGTGTGTTAATTTTCAATTTTTCAGTTGTTCCTTTAAGCCTTCAAGAAACAATGTTGGCTACCAAAACCCTTCCTCTGACTTCGCCTCTGTCCACACCCTCAAAAATATCTGATGATTTTGCACTCTCATTCAAGAACTTCATTCCGGTCTCGAAATGCAATGGAAAACACAAAATCACATGTCTCAGTTCATCGTCACAATCAGTAATTGCGCCAGAAATGAGTACACAGTCCATCACGGCACAAACCCGGGTCAAGATTTTATCCGAAGCATTACCCTTTATTCAGAAATTCCGTGGCAAGACTATAGTAGTTAAATATGGAGGAGCTGCGATGAAGTCCGAGGCACTCCAGGCTTCTGTAATTGCGGACATTGTCCTCCTCTCATGTGTTGGCCTCCGCATTGTCTTTGTGCACGGTGGTGGGCCTGAGATCAACCAGTGGCTGGGAAAACTCAGCATCAAGCCCAATTTTCTTAATGGCCTTAGAGTCACCGATGCATCCACCATGGAAATTGTGTCGATGGTGTTGGTTGGTAAAGTGAATAAACATCTTGTTGCTTTGATCAACAAAGCTGGTGCCACTGCAGTTGGCTTATCTGGGATCGATGGTCGGATTTTGACAGCTCGGCCCTCTCCCAATGCTGCAAAGCTTGGGTTTGTTGGGGACATTGCCAGTGTTGACCCCTCTATAATCCTGCCACTCGTGGATAATAACCACATCCCAGTGATTGCCTCTGTAGCGGCTGATGCAACAGGACAGTCATATAATATTAACGCAGACACGGCTGCTGGTGAGCTTGCAGCGGCTTTGAGTGCGGAGAAGTTGATTCTGTTGACTGATGTGGCGGGGATATTGGAGGACCGTGATGATCCAGGGAGCTTGGTGAAGGAGATTGATATCAAAGGGGTGAAGATGATGATGGAGGATGGGAAGATTGCAGGTGGGATGATCCCCAAGGTGAACTGCTGCGTAAGGTCTCTGGCCCAAGGTGTTCGGACAGCTAGTATAATCGATGGGCGGTTGGAGCATTCACTACTTCTCGAGATTCTAACTGATAAAGGGGCTGGAACGATGATCACTGGGTAAACTACTTCCCATAAGTTTTATGCAACGTTTGGTTGAACCAGCTGCTTCTCCATCACCAGGATCTCCTTCAAAGAATAGGTCATCTTCCTCTCCGTAGCTACCACCGGGTGAGCTCCAAAAAATGAGTTTTTTATTTGAGAAAACGTTAAATGAGCAATGAACACGAACATTCAACTGATAATTCATTTTAAAATGACAAACAAACGTGCATTCTAGTAACTGAGCTTGAACATGTAATCTTTAGGAAAGTTATTATTAGCCTCTGAATTGCTTTGGTGATGAGTATTTTTAGTAGAGTTTGCATAAATGTTTTTCCTTAGTTCTTTATGGTACACAGTACCCATTTCTACTCTTTGTTATGTCTTGAAATGTATAATGTATTTGCCAAGAAAAACCATATATAACTATGAGATTTATTAGAACAGGATCTCTTTCTATTTTGTGTAATCGTTGCTTGAAATCTCTTTCTAAAAGCTGAAAATTCTGCCTCATGTATACAAGCCCCTGTTGTAATTTAATGAAAAGAGTTTATCTAACCCTTGTTCGATGTCCATTATTTCGAGAAAATAGAGTTTTGAATGGTTAAAAAAGTAAGGAAACGATTTGGTTTTATTACTATTATTTTATTGTTTTTGCTCGCCGGGCCAATCTGTGAACTGGGCCACTAGCAGCCAGCACAGGCCTTTGGTTTTAGGTGTTACTTTTACGAAGTCGTTTGCTTAGACCTTGTTCAATTTTTTTTATAAGGTCCTTAATTTTGCATCGATCATAAATTATAAATTATATAATGAATATTCATAAATTCGGAGTTCTAAACACTGATGTGTTGATCATATAATCAAATCCATTAATTTCTCAACATCATCTTTAAAACAAAAAACAACAAATGCAATGAAAACAAACCAAATATATGATACTGTACTGCCTATTAATACATTCTCCGAGCAGGAAAGTGAATGATAGTCACGAGCAAGTATCTCAAATTACAGAGACTCAACATTTCAGCTGAGTATGGTCAACTTTGAACGTAGGAGTGATGCAGTAATTTAGTGGTCAATTCTTCTTACAGCGTAGATCCAGGAAATATGATTTGGGATTGCTTTCAAATTTAGACCTTAACATCCTATCACCATTTTTCCTTCCAGGAGCTTTCATAGTCTTAGCTGCTGCTTTCTTCCTGCAGATCTTGCAGCAGAAGAAACAAACAAGCAGGAACAACAGTCCGATGATGATAATAGCAATAAACTGCGTGTGTAAATGATCACCACGCTCTATATTCAACTCATCTGGAATATTTTTGAAGTCCCAACCAAATTTCAGCTGGAAATAGTTCATCACTTTGTAGGGATTGCCAGTTTTGTCCAACTTATCTAGGAAACTTTTCAATGCGGAAACTGCTCCCACCCTCTTCAATTTCACCTGCATCTGCATGTCTTCCAACATGCTTTCTGCTCCAAGTTTCCTTAACTTCTCCTGCACATAATTTATAACGTTCTCCATCTCTCTCTCTCGATCTCTCAATACAAAGGAGATTCTTCAGGAGAAGAGAATTTGATGAAGCAGTCAAGTAAACTGATGCATCCAAAGTATTCTTAATGGTGGCCAATTATCTTTTCCAACATATTTATAATGGAGTAGGCCAAGGGAAAAAGTGATCAGATCCGTTTCTAACTACTTTAAATTCTCTTTCTTTTCATCTTCTAAACGAATCCTCTTTGCCAGCTTGACTCCACTCCACTCCACTACACTGCTCTGGTCTCAGTTAAAAATTATCTATTTTTCAAGTCACAAACAAATAAATGGTAACGGCAAAATTCAATGACCCTACTAATTAGTCCCCATGTTATGTTTTCAAACTTTAAAGCTTCTATTCACATATATTTTCATAAACTAGCAATGTTTAAAAATGAGTAATTGAATACTGAAGCGTCTTCCTTCGTAAGCCTCATCGTAAAATAAAATTTCTAAAAATTATTTAAATGCTAAATAAGTGCATAATAAAACATAAATGATCTTCAAAATTCATAATAGAACAATTAAAAGTGGTCAAACAAACCAAATAAATTCTTCAAAGTAAAAAAAAAAAAGGAAAAAGAGAGACTATTACTTTAGTTGATGGGAAAGTGGGCCATTTTCAAAGCGAGTCTACGAGAAATACTTTTTTTTTAATGATTTAGTGGGACAATGGATTATTCTTCACACCTATATCTAAGTAAATAATTGTTGAAAATTAAGGAGTATAGGCCTCACAAGCCAATACTTATTCAACCCTTTTGGGCAAAGTTCTGGAAAATTCAAATTCAACCCTTCGACTAGAAGTTCGAATTTTCCAACTACCTATTCCAGCTACTTCAGGCCACTTACAACTTTTATTTTGCCCTTGCATTTTACTTTGTTTGGCTAACATGGGGTATATGGCTGCACGTGCTTGATCCCATATAGGAAGAACTTTGAAATCTGGGCAAAGCAAGGAGCAAGCAAGGAATCCGGTCAGCAGCACCGTTTTGACATTGAAGATTCAAGATCATGGCCAGCTGGTGTTTTACTTGATTGGGAAATGGAATTTACACTATTGTATCCCAGCAATATCCACTCAGCATTGGGCACCCGTTTTTTGGCAATTCTTGCTGCCAAAATGCAAGCTGCCTAATATGATCCAATTCATGCAAATGATGGATTAGTTCAAAGACATTAGCTAGTTTAAATGCGTAGACTAAGTTGTTATGTTTAATTGACATCAATCATTGTTTTGGGTCATTGGACCGATTGTAACATTAATTCTGTAAGCCCGGAGATGCCCGGAAAAAAAATAAAAAATCATCTAATATAATTTCAACTTAGACTAATAATTTGCCCCCTGTTTTGGGAACTAGGCACAAGTAATCCCAACGAAAACGATAAATTACACACGGCAAAATGAAGCACTTCGTAATTTATAGATGATATGCACATTTCAGAACTTAACTGAAGTTTGCTCGATCAAGAATTGATGCCCATTGCCTCAGTTCGATATACAAACATGAACTGAGCTTGCTTGCACCCAATGAATGGCAAGCTGGGCACTCAAATCCCAGCAAAAACACAATGACATGGATCGTCAGAGTGGTGAATAGGAAATCTATATAAGGCTTTTTTTCTTTCACGGTTTCAACAATCAATTTTTTCATAGGGAAGAATAACTATAATCAAATGAATTAATAACTTACCACAACGACATGAACACATACTGCAAAATATAGACTTCATCTCCTCCTCTTCTTGCTTCTTCCCAATTGTCCCGATTTAAATGCATGCTCTTGTTCTTGGAGAAAAGCTTTAGCTTGTCCATATTTTTCAGCTCTTTCTTCTGCCAGTTGTGCCTTGTCCCTTTCCTTAACCTCCAACAAGAAGTAATTATCTTTCCGAAATTCACGGGCGGCACCTTTAGCTTCCTGTCTTAAAAGTTTCTTTAATTTTTTCCTTTGAGCTCGCTCACGATCTGGATCATAATCTCTTCCCTTTACAAAGCTGCATTTAATAATTAATAATGAAAAAATCAAGTCAGCAAATGAAATTAAGTGGCAGAATTTGATGTAATTGAGCAAAAATGCAATCGATAGGGTGATTACTTCTCTTCAAACTTAGGAATCTCAGTTTTAATAATCTTTGGCTTTCGCATTCGCAGTGGTCGGCGCAGCAAGTGGTATTCCCATTCTTTCTTTCCAATAAGTTGGGTAACGTCTATGATTTGAACCTGTAATGCATCTGGTATGTAATCTTGTTTCACCAATTCGCCGAGTAATTTGGAAATTGGCAAAAATATCTCCGGAAACGATTTAAATCCTTCATAACTTTTCACAAATCCTTTCAGTGTTTCAATATTAGCAAAAAGCACGCTGGCCCTGCAAGTAAAAGCTTAACACTCAGAATCCAACACGTACCAGAAAACAATCTGCATTACACTCTAAGTACCACAAATAAATAGCCTAAGATTAAACCTGAAAATATCTGAGGTGAAATGAGGTGAGTCATCTGGTAAGTCCACTAACATTAGGAAATCTAGTGAATTGATCTTTTCCACTTGACCTTGCAAGCAGAGAAGTGGCCTGAGTGCTTTCACTTCCATAAGACGATATAGCTGCATAACAATAAAAATATTAATTAAATACTTCTCTTTGCAAAAAAGAATGAAGTGGGTGCTTTAAGCAATGGCCTGCAAGAAACTGCCACGAATAGAGCTTCTGAAATGTGTAAAGTAAGCAAAATAATGGAAACAAACCTTAGAATCTTCAGAAGATCCTTGTTTTTTATCAAAAGCTGCCATTAGCAAAGTTTGTATGAACATTATTGCCTCCGGACAAAACTTTTGAGATTGTCTACTGATCTGCAGAACCATTTTTGACAAATTGTTACCCAGAATCTTTAAAAAGATTGGAACAAAAAGGTTAACAGATATTATTGAAAATGCAATGGTTAACGTACATCTCATAACTGTCAATAAGGTTGAAGATC